AAAGACTAAAGACCCAAATAAAATATCTCTTTTGTTACAGTTTACAAAGGACAAAATGAATCAAAAGCAACAAGACAAGTCAGCACCATTCTTCACTACCCATCTTTTACAATAAATCATCTCTCTTTTCACAAATTTCAAACTACTCTCATTGCCCTTTAGCTTTGTTCTAGAGCCAACACTACAGAGGAAGACTCACACTTGTTTCAATAATTAAATCTGATTTTGGCTCTTCTTATAAACTAATGTCTGCAGGTCTTCTTATCTCTCTCACTCACCACCATCTTCTTCTTCCGCGATTATCAAAACCCTAGATCGAATCTTATCTCTCTAATAATCTCTCTGTTGTTACAGTTCGTAGAGTCATGGCGTTAGCATCAACCACGTTGCCGACGAGGTCCGGATTATCTCTTTGGTGTCCGTCTTCTCCGTCTCTCGCTCGTCGTTTTCGCGCTCGGTTTTCTCCGATCGGTTCTAGAATTGCTTCCAGAGGCCTCGTTACTGCTTCTTTCGCTAACGAGAATCGCGAGTTAGTTTATATAATTCTTCGAATTTTGATTCTTGTTTAGATGAATTTGTATCCGAATTGAGTTTTTGATTGTGTGATTTTGTTAGGTTTGTGATTGTTGGTGGAGGAAATGCTGCTGGTTATGCTGCTAGGACTTTTGTAGAGAACGGAATGGCTGATGGTCGACTATGCATTGTTACCAAAGAGGTGATTCAAATCGATCCCTTAGTGTTTTCTTTATCAGTATCACTCTTGGTTTTACTCTGTTTGATTTTTGGATTGTGGTTGTTGTTATTAGGCTTATGCACCTTATGAGAGACCGGCTTTGACGAAAGCTTACTTGTTCCCTCCAGAGAAGAAGCCAGCTCGTTTACCAGTAAGCTTTGTCTAGTTTAGTGTTTGATTCGATTATTTTAAGTGGTTCTATTAGTGCTATTGGTTCTTTATTTCGCCACATGAACTTCTATCAGTCTATGGATAGGGTTCTGGTAGATTTTGTATAAAGTTAGGACTGTTTCTAATTTGAATATTTGTATGGTTTGGCTTTTCGGTTAGTGTTTTGTTTATATTGAGGGTGAATGAATATGCAGGGGTTTCATACTTGTGTTGGAGGTGGTGGAGAAAGGCAGACACCAGACTGGTATAAGGAGAAAGGGATTGAGGTATTCATCTTCTGATACATAGTTTTGTTTTCTAGAACATATGAATGTAAGTGAAGTGTCTTTAGTTTGATTGATCGTTCAGTTCGGAATGTACATCAGTGAATTTGTGGTATTCTGTTGTGTCTTGCTAATGCATTTTGTTTGAACAGGTAATATATGAAGATCCAGTGACTGGAGCTAATTTTGAAAAGCAAACCCTCACAACAGACACAGGCAAGCAGTTAAAATATGGATCCCTAATTATCGCTACAGGGTGTACAGCCTCAAGGTGAGCGAAAGTCGCATTCTATTTGCAGTTGATTGATAAACAACATCAGAGAAAATAGGCCTTCTCAACCATGTCTATTAATACTATCAATATTTTCTTTGAATTTTTATGGCAGGTTCCCAGATAAAATTGGTGGGAGCTTGCCAGGGGTTCACTATATTCGGGAGGTTGCAGATGCTGATTCACTGATAGCATCTCTGGTAAGCTAAGGGCGTTCTTATTAGTTATGTCATCTTAATGCAATGTTGTACTATGCGTCATCAGGAAACTTTAAATTCCCTTGGCGACAAAATAACCTTCCAATATATGATACAGGGAAAGGCAAAGAAAGTCGTCATTGTGGGTGGTGGCTACATCGGCATGGAGGTTGCTGCGGCAGCTGTTGCGTGGAATCTAGATACAACAGTTATTATCCCTTTGACTTGAATCTTTAAATTGTGCTAGAAATGAGGACTACTTCTAGTTCCTGGAAACGTTCAGATAATATGTGAAACAGATGTACTAACTTACAGCTGCTTTTGTGCTTTAGATTGTATTCCCCGAAGATCAGCTTTTGCAAAGACTGTTCACTCCATCGCTTGCTCAGAAATATGAAGAACTGTACCGTCAAAATGGTGTTAAGTTTGTTAAGGTAAGATATCAACCCACGATCAACACCTTAAAAGCTTAGGCCGAAGCTTTTGCTTTTCTGCAAACCTACGAATTTCAGAAACACAGTGAGTAAACTTAAGTTTCTTTTTCTGTTACAGGGTGCTTCCATAAATAACTTAGAAGCAGGTTCAGATGGGCGTGTATCAGCTGTTAAGCTTGCTGATGGGTCTACAATTGAGGCAGACACGGTATAGTTGTAGCTCAGCTTCACTTTTTTCTTTCTCAAATGATGCAAATTCAACAACTTCGATCAAATGAAAACTGTGAAGGGTCAATGAAATCCTGACTTTCGTACGACCTGTGTATCCTTACTTTACAGGTTGTAATCGGAATTGGAGCTAAGCCTGCTATTGGCCCCTTTGAAACTTTGGCCATGAACAAATCTATTGGAGGAATTCAGGTATTATTATTACAAAACATCCGGATTTAGTTTCCAAGATTAATCGGTTTTCAAAGTTAGAACTTCACAAGAAACTACATCAGTAAATTCATACAATTAGAAGTTTGATAAGAGCTCATCTTCAACCACAGGTCGATGGCTTGTTCCGGACAAGTACCCCTGGAATTTTTGCTATTGGAGATGTCGCAGCCTTCCCTTTGAAGGTACTTTGCTACTAGATAAAATATGTTAAGCCACCAATTATCCCGTGACCTGCAAAGTCATCATGTTATTGTCTGATGAACAGATATATGATCGGATGACTCGAGTTGAACATGTTGATCACGCCCGCCGCTCTGCACAACACTGTGTGAAATCACTACTCACGGCACACACTGACACGTAAGATTCTTCCCTGGAAAGATCTGTAGAATTCTCTGTATATCTCAACAGATCTTCACCTATTAGTTCTTGTCTTGCTCAAAACGTTGCAGGTACGATTATCTTCCTTATTTCTACTCAAGAGTGTTCGAGTATGAAGGCAGCCCAAGAAAAGTTTGGTGGCAGTTTTTTGGAGATAATGGTAATCTCTTTGACCGAAATAGTATACCATCCAATGACTCAAAACAATATTTCCACTGTATCTAAACCACTGATCATACTGTCCAGTGGGAGAAACAGTTGAGGTTGGGAACTTCGACCCGAAAATCGCTACCTTCTGGATTGAATCTGGTAAATCATTCCTTCAACCTTTTCTCACTTCAGTTCCTACTCTTGAACCTTGCACAAATACACAGCTTAGCAAATTAACTAACTTTGTTGAGTAATTATCGTAACACAGGTAGGTTGAAAGGTGTTCTTGTAGAAAGTGGATCACCTGAGGTAAGAGTCTTTCTTAGCATTTCCCTCGTTAACATTCTGAATTAACCAATCTTTAGAACATCATGCTTCTTTAGATCTGCGAGACTAAAATTAGAATATTTTGGAACGGTCTTTGAAACCTGACAATTGCAATTACATCAGAATGTGTTTTCATGTATTTATGAAAACTATATTGGGTTTTAATTGCTTCCATTGTTATGTATATCTCTTAAAACAGGAGTTCCAGCTTCTACCAAAGCTAGCAAGAAGCCAACCACTTGTCGATAAGGCTAAACTCGCAGGCGCATCTTCAGTCGAAGAAGCTCTCGAGATTGCTCAAGTCGCTCTACAGAGTTAGAGAGAGAAACTTCATGGAGTTTTTTTTTATAGCTTTTGGGGTTCAGAGAAATCAACATCTTTTATTCTCGGTGAGAGTATTCATCTTTCCATTGGAAAAATGATCTATAGAGAGCACTGTTGTCAATAATCTCCACGAATAATTTATAACCTCTTTGTAAGATGATCATATTTTGCTCATTAGAGAGCTTTGCTTCTAATAAAATCCATGCTAGAGATCGTTTTCTCATGATCTATGGGTTGTTTCATGGATCGTTAAAATGTTTATTTAATTAGATTTCTTAATTGACTGTAAACCATAAACTAAATTGGGAAAAATGTCATTAAAATTCCCAACTTATTCAAAACGTTGATTTAAATCCTCAACTCACGACGAAACGAAATAAATATCAAACTTATGTTGACTTTCCAAATAAATATTTAACTTATGTTGACTTTCCAAATAAACACCAAACTTCCGTTCACCTGGCCATATTAGGTACGACGTTAAGTGGGTTAATAGATCTCATTAACGGAGATAATTTTCTGTTAACATATATGTTAATTGATAACGACATTGTTTCATATAACAACAAAACGACGTCGTTTTGTCGTAACGATTGAATTAAATCCCTAAAGTCAATCTTAGATTCCCAAATCGAGCAAAATCCCTAACCCTAAATAGAGTATGATTTGAAACTCGGGATTTTATTGAACAGTTACGACAAAACAACGTCGTTTTATGTTTAGAAGGAATACTTGTTAGTGTTTTGATCAACAAACGAACTCTGTTTTAACAGAGTATGAAGAACAAAACCAAAATGAAAAATAGTATGAAGAAACTTGATCTTTATTGATGAGATAAAATGTATTACACACAATGATGTTATTGAGTTTGACTCGATCTACTTATACAACACGAAACAACGTGTACGTACATGTGTTAATCGAAAAGACACAACTTTATGAACAGACACAACTATACGTACGTACATTCGTGACTCTTACGTAAATAACTAACTTATATGAATACGACTTTAGGTTATATGACTTAGATGAGATTTGATTATAGTTCAACAATACTGTCATTTTTAATTAGCGGGTCTGTTAACAGAAAATTAATCTCGTTAACATTGTCTGTTAACTCACTTAACGTCATGCCTAATATGGCCAAGTCAATGAAATTTTGGTGTTTATTTGGAAAGTCAACATAAGTTTAATATTTATTTGGAAAGTCAACATAAGTTTGATATTTATTTCGTTTCGTCATGAGTTAAAGATTTAAATCAACATTTTGAATAAGTTGGAGATTTTAACGACATTTTTCCCAAACTAAATTTGTATAAACCATAGTGGAGACTTTGTTATATAATCCACACAAGGATTTGTTTTGCGGCACGTTAGAGTCTTGATGGGATTGATTGCGACCTGTAAAAAGGTTTTTGTAGTCTAATAAGTGGTTCATATAAAGGTTTACAACTTTACTTACACGAAATGAATTTTACTTTTTACAGCCTGAAAAACGCGTTTCGGATGCAATAGAAATTTATTTGCTGCCCGTGATTCAGCTTAAGATCTTGTGAGTTCTACAATTGAGAGAGTGATGATTATGATTGGTAAAGTGGTAATGTTGCAAAATCGTATAAATTTTGCGAAATGGTGGGAATAACAACTCGAAAAATTGCAAATTTGGCGGAACCTTGTGGTTGGTTAAAATCTATGAATTTGGGAAATCATTTGGCCAAGATGCAAAACTGTTATAAACTTTTCTCTAGCTCGATTTATATTTTAATATGACATAATTCTTGGGATTGGTACAAGATAATGAAGAAACCATTGTTTGTAAGAACAACACCCTCAGTTTTGGTGAAAATATTGCAAAATGCAAACAATGAAACAAACGTGTAGCGTTGGTAAAACTAAAAACCAATTGATGCCAATAAAAGAAAAAGGCATTGAAGGACTCTTTCACAAATAACAAATTTGTGATTGGTATATGACTATTAAAAAAAGTTAGAAACAATTAGTAATTATCGAGTCGATACATCATCAGCATTTCACCACTTATTAGACTAAGACCAAAGAAAGACCAAAAATATAAAGTACAATACCCCAGACGCACTTATCGCGAGTGAACTCCACGTTCGTTTTCTTCAGTGGAAGAAAACCATTTTTATGTTTGGGTATGGCGCGTGTGGTATCGTATCACAGCTTTCCTTTTTTAGAACGATCGCTTGTTTTCTTTTCTTTCCAAATCAATTCATGTTGCTGTGATGTTTTGTTGGTATATAAAGCTTGGAGTTGTTAGCAATTTGGACTATTAAATATTACTTCTTCCATCTTCTGCTCTGTTCTCTTAAAAATGATGGTAGTTTTTTTTTCTTATGGTTTTCAAACAAAAAAACAGTCTTTTAATTTAGTCCCTTTAATTTATATACAGTTCGAGTGTTTTTTAATTAATGGTTTTTATTCACATGCAATTTCTGCAGAAAATGATTGTGTGGATGGGTGTTTATGATCAGAAATCCAAGAGCAAAATCTTGAAGAGTGTTGCTGACTTACCCGGTAAATCACATCAAATTAAACCTTTGTCCATTCTTAAGAGTATTTAAGAAAGATAAACAAACACTTGATCTTTTAATTATATATATTGTACACTCTGTTTTTTCTTATGGGGGTATATGATGAATTGCAAATAAAAAATCTTTAATATTTTATTGTCAGGGATTCACTATCCTTGCATGGATTTGAAAGAAGGGACATTAACACTGGTTGGAGATGTTAATCCTGTGGAGATCGTTAACAAGCTCAGAAAGAAATGGAGAAGAGCTAAATTAACATTATTTGTACCTTATGATGCTTTGAAAGAAGCAAAACTTGCTGAGGCTAAGCAGAGGAGAGAAGAGATTGAACGTGAAGCTCTTTACAGATATAACCGTGAAATTCGTGAGATTGTCAATGATCAGGAGCAAGGTTGTGTCATTTGCTAGAGTTCTAAAGAAAAATAAAATAAAAAGACAAAAGGTAATTTAACTATTTTAATTTGTTGGATTTATAGTTCATATTGATTAATGAATAAAGACAATTTATGAGTAAGGATGAATTATGGAGTTTGATCGTGGATGCTTTTATTTTAGCTGTGTTCGCTTGAGTAATTAGAGTAATTGATTTTCTCGAGTCAAATTACTGATTTATAATTATAAAACTAATTACAAAAAAAACACATAAATATGTATGAACTTGAGAGAAATTGATCACTGTCCTAAGATGTTGAATTTTTTGGTGGAATTTGAAATGGTATGCACATGATGAGAAAAGGAAAGGAAATTTTGTGGTGAAAAATAAATTACAAAGCAAAATAGTATCAATTATAAACTTAAGTCAAAAAGACAATTACATTTGGAACTAAAAAATTAAGGATGTGTTTGGCCAGTAACATAAACTCATAATTGTTCCATAAGAATCTGAGCGTGGGATCAACTCGTTATAGATGAGAGTAGAGAAATTCCCCTTCTTTTCTGAAATCAATACTAATGAATAATGATGTGTAACGTGACAAATTTTAACTACCATGTGAAGTTTTCCTAATAAGTTAAACTCAAAGACAAAAAATTATGAAAACAATGTGACGGATAACGAATTCAAGGGATTAATACTAGAAAAACGAACTTCAGAACAAATTATCCTTTAAAAATGTTTTCATAAGTGGTTTGATATCCTAGAAAAACACATATTTTTGTCAATTTAGAGACTTCCAGTGTTCCACATAGTTTCTTGAAGCATAAATTGGCAGTAAAAAAGGAACTAACAGAGAAACATTAAGAGAAAGTTTTCTTAAACAAATTAAGAGACTTCTTCCCCATGACAAGAAGTTTAATCAAAAGAAAATGTTAGAGGACGAGAAAAACATCATCATCACTGAAGATTGAACGAACTCATCAATAGATTCATGTTCATAAACTAAAGTTTTGGTTTTCAAGAAACTAGAAACTTTGCTAGCCAATAACAAAATAAATTGGTAGTAAAACAATCCACCAAATTAAAAGATGACGTCTCACACCTTTTTTTTTTTTGTGTGTGGAAGATTCATGATAATTTCATCCCCAAACAATATCATCGTGGCGTTGCATGCACATGAGGAAAAAAAAAGGAAATATTGTGGTTAAAATGAATTACAAAGCAAAATAGTATCAGTTATAAACATATATAAGCCAAAGAAAAAATAGGACAATAAAACATTTGGAGCTAAGAAATTTATGATGGGTTTGGTTTGCCACATAACAAATATTGAAAAATGCTTTTCGGGGATTTTTCATGTTCTATTTCTCGTTGTTTATGGGGAAGAAGTACAAAATGCAAACAACTATGGATGTTGGTAGTTGGTACTAAAAAACAATTGATCAGCAAACCAAATCAATTGATGAACTTACCATAAAAAGGGACATTGGAAAAATCTTTGACAATATAAAACTTTTGAAATGGTAATTACTAAATATAGAAACGATCAATAATCGACGGACACACATCATGGGACCATTAAAGAGAAGAAATTTCCAAAGAACCACAGAAGAAAATAACAAGTACAGATGAAAATTTCCCACAGCCATTTCTCACAAGTGAAATCCACGCTCTTGTTTTTTACTGAAGAAAACATTTTTATGAATATTTATTATATCACAAACCACTCTGATATTCCTTTATTATGTTTTCTTTACTAAACCCATTTAATGTGGCGGTTTGTTATTTGGGACATAAAGCATCATCGACTTGCTTACACTTTGGAATAAAAAAATACACCAACTTTTTACTGTTCCACATCTTCTTCTCTGTTCTACAAAGAAAATGAAGGTAATGTTATTTGGTTTTCAAAGTACTAAAAAAATGAGTTCTTTTGATTTTTTCAATAGACTTGGAGTGTTTTGATTAATGGTGGTTCTTCTTCTAATCACACTTTCTTGCAGAAGATGGTGGTGATGATGAATGTCTTTGATGAGATAGCAAAGGAGAGAGTGATTCGCACAGTAGCTAGCTGTTCAGGTAATTTTTACATCAACATGCAATTTTTCTTAGATTTTTTTACTTGTTCATGAGTTTTTACTGAAAGGACAAAGTTTTTATTATGATACATACACTCTGTTTTTTTTTTCCTGTTTGATGAGTTTTTATTGAAAAGACAAAGCTTTTCATTACACAAACTCTCTGGTTTTGAGATTCGTTGTGGGTTTTGTCGTTTTGAATTGAAACCCTAAAAAAATGATTCTGGTTCTGTTCATGAATTTTTAGTAAAAAGCCAAAAGCTTTCGATCTTAACATTCACTCTGCTTTTTGGATTATTTTAGGGTTTGAATTAAAACCTCAAAACTTGAAATGGATTTATGTATTATTCATGAGTTTGTAGCTTTTTCATTACTCACATTCTATGTTCTTGAAATTCTTGAAACCTTCAAAAATGAATTTTTTGTTCTGTTGAGTTTTTATTGAAAAGGCAAAGCTTTTGATTACACACACACATATAGTCTGTTTATGGGATTCTTTATGGGTTATGATATGATCCCTTAAAAAATGATTTTGATTTTTGTCTCGTTCATGATTTTTTTAATTGAAAAACCAAAGCTTTTAAAATCACACATTCTTGGGATTCTTTAGGTATTTGAGTTTGAGTGTGAGTTTAAATTTAAGTTTTGTCTTGTTAATGAGCTTTTGCTGCAAAGCTTTGAATAATAATACGTCTTGTTTTTGGTTTTCTTTATGGATCTTGATTTGAAATTTCAAAAGAACGAACCACCTTAAAAAGATCTTCCTAAGTCTCAAGGCCTAAATCTTTACATTTTTTTTTTTTTCCAGGAATTACAACTATTACAATGGATTCAAAAGAAGGGAAGTTAACGGTGATTGGTGAGTTTGACGAAATGCAGATTCTCAAAAAACTCAAAAAGAGATGGGAGAGTGCGAAAATGGTGACATTTGGCCCGTTCGATCCGAAGAAGGAAGCGGAAACCGCTGCAGCTGCGGAAAAGAAGAAGAAAGAAGAAAGTGAACGTGAAGCTCTTTACCGGTCTCAGGCTTACCGTGAAATTCCGGTATGTCCTTCGCATCATCACACTACTATTGTGTGCGATCATGATCACGGCTGTATAATCTCTTAATATTTTCAGTATGGTAATTCTCTGATTAGTTAGAAGTTACTTGTGTTATTGATGTATTTATTTCACTATGATATTACTTGTGTTAAACTCAAGGATTCGTAATTATCTTCTAGGTCTACTTCAAATAAAAAAGGTTTGTATTTCAAAACCAACGATGTCTGATTTTGATATAAGAATTCATATAGACAAGAAAAGCAACAACCATATCACAGTTTTCATGTGGTAAATGTCTGAAGATGAAAATGACAGACGAAGAAACTTGTGTCACAAGGAACTTGCAGTCAAAGACACAGTTTCCAGTTATATTCAAATCTGACCAAGGAACTAGGAATCACAATGAATCATTATCATCATCATCAAAATATGATTCGATTTTCACTGCTTCTATGAAAGGATTAATAGCCTCTAATGGGTGATTACACTTAAGTGTAAATTTACAATCAAAAGTTTGTTTTTTCTTATAAGACTTTAAGGAAAATGATACAGAGCTAAAATTAATCTTGAGTTCTATTTCTTCATGAGGAGAATAACAGTGTGAGCTGCAATGCTTCTGTTTTCTCCGAGGCTATCAACTTTCTCATGTGTTTTGGCTTTTAAGTTCACAACAGAAGGATCTGCTCCAAGAAGCTTGGACAGATTGGATCGGATTGTCTCCTTATGAGGACTTATCTTTGGTCTCTGTAGAATCAATGTCGCGTCTAGGTTTCCTATCTCGTAGCCTGCCTCGTCCATGAGTCTAACCTGAAACATATAGACAAACAAAACCTTGTTTCAAGTTCATTGAACCTAATCATCATTCATCCCGACAAGAACCTGGCATTTGTACCGTTATAACTATATAACCTCATTACAAGTGATTATCATTTAAATTGTATCGCTTGATTCACATTAGCGTCCATGCAATCAACAATTCACAGTCAATCATGGTTTTGAAATTAACAAACACATTACGCTAAATTTTGACCCATTACTTAAAATACCGGACAAGAAAGAAACTTTATAGCTTCAATATTGAGTACCTCTACTTATCATCAATCATATGTGTTGAAATGTACCAATACAAGACTTGTTCAATAACTTCATTAACCCAAAATGCAAGAACCTAGAATTTAACTGATAAAATTGAGTTATGCCAAGGCTTTGCAAGAGAAAACTCATGTATATAAGACGGATAAGATTGTACACAGCATCGTAGAGTGATCACAACAGCTGAAGGATAAGATTTGATCTCCATCTCTCTTCTACTTCCTATAGATGAAAATAATCTACTCAATAGTAATTACAGAACCTTGATATTAAACTGAGAAAATCCCATCAACCTATAGATATTGCTTGAATTCTGAATCACTCTATAAAGTAGCACACACAAAATCAGGCTTAGAGAAAGAGCAGCTAATACTGTAAGTCTGTAACTTGGCAGGTATAAGAAAAATCTCAGCATACACAATCTCACACAAAATTGAACATGTCAAGGTAAGCTACGAAAGATCTTACAGCTTCTTTGATGAAGACAGATGAAGCAGCTCCTTTCCATTTAGGATCAGAATCAGGGAAAATCTGACCTATATCTGGAAGCCCTAATGCTCCCAATATTGCATCCACTACACAATGAAGCAACACATCGCCTGCACAAATTCCAACATCAAAACCCTAAAATCGAATCCTAACTTCAACAGAATCAATAAGACGAATTCTCACAAATCGAATTTGGAGAAATGTTTACCATCGGAGTGAGCTTCGCAGCCTCTATCATGAGGAATATCAATCCCGCCGATGATCAAAGGGTAACCTGGCTCTAACCGATGCAGATCAAAACCATGACCGATTCGAAACGGAAGAGTTTTGGTTGGTTTCTCTGAAGTCGCAGATTCATTGACGTCGACGGCGGAAGAAGCAGCTAAAACCGAGATTGAAGGACGACATGATAACGAGAGAGACTGCTTCGGTCTCCGAAGGTAGATCTTCGTCGCCGGGAGAAGGAACGGCGTTTTGGTAATTTGAGAGTGAAACAAAGAAGAAGAAGACAGTAGAAGCTGAGTAGAAGAAGTAGCCATTCTTCGATTTTCTTGTTTAGTCAATCCGCTAATATATTTTTTGTTTTTTGTTTTTTTTCTTTTAAATTTGTAAATATGTGGTGGAAATGAAATATTCATTTCTTTATTGGGCCTTTCCTTTCCTAAGCCCATTTAAAATATGATAAGATCTTGGCCGTCGATGACGTTGCATATCCACTGAAGTTTATTATAGTCCGCGTCGTAGAGAATTATTACGCATCACTTCTCTGCTTTAGGTTTTTCTCTTCCAGCTTTCTTTCTCTAAACTTCCTCGCCCACTCTTCTCTTCCGCACCGCTTTTCAAACGGCGACGCATTGTCTCGCAATCGATCGCCGGAAAATAACAAGGGAAGATGGCGGCGCCGGAGGCTCCAGTTAAGTACGTAGGAATCTGTAAGGAATCCGCCGCTTTCCGGCTTATGAAATCGATGGTGAGTAAATTTTCATGTAATGATGTTAATGTGTGTAGAGATTTTATAAAGACCTAATTTTTTTTGGATTGGTGATTTTTTTTAGGGTTGGGAAGAAGGAGAAGGACTTGGTAAAGATAAGCAAGGGATCAAAGGTTATGTGAGAGTTAAGAACAAACAAGATACAACTGGTTAGTTTCTTCTTCTTCTTCTTCTTAGTGAAGTTGTGGAATTTAGATTAGAGGAAACTTACATATAGCTACTTTGCACTTATACCCAAAAAAACGTTAATTTCTGCTTTCTTGGGATGAAATGTGTGTGTATATATAGCTTAGTTTATGTATAGGTGTATGTAATTTGTGAATGTGAAGTTGTGGAATTTAGATTAGAGGAAACATAAATAGAGTTACTTTGCTCTTACACACCCAAAAAAGACATTCTTTTCAGTTTTATAGGAGGAAATGTCTGTGTTTATATAGTTTAATTTATGTAATGTGAAGTTGTGGAATTAAGATAGAGCTACTTTACCCTTATACCCAAAGAAAATCATTATTTTCTGTTTTTGGGGAATGTCTTGTGTATATGCAACTATAGTTTATGTTCTAGGACTGAAAATTTGAAATGTTGGAGCAGGTGTTGGTCTTGATAAGCCGAATCCATGGGCATTCGATACAACTCAGTTCGATAACATTCTCAAGAAATTGAAAGTGGTAATGGCTGTGTTCATCTTTGTTTTTAACTAAGCTCTTTGAAAAAATTGGAAATGGGTTTTAATGTTCTGCACACATCAGCTAATTACATATATTGAGAACGTTATCTCGGGTTTAAATGTAATAATGTTTTGTTTTGTTTTGCAGCAAGCAGCACCTACCAAGACTAGCAAGAATGATGATGGTAAAACTATTTTTAAGCAACTTTAGTTCTTTCTTGATTATGGAAGTAGTTTGTTTAATTATCCTAATGATTCTTGTTTCTGTGGCATATGATAGGTTCGGATAAGGAAGATGAAAGTGAAGACGATGCTGCCAAATCTGAGCCTGCCAAGTCCAAGACTGTTGCTAAAGTCACTCGTCCACAAGGAAGGTATAAACGTAGAGAAAAAGGGAAGCTTGTCAATTCATACTCATCTAAAGATCTTGAAGGAATACTGGTAAGCTCGCTTTCTAATCAGTTCTTTCCTAATTTTATCTGCTCATGACCAAGATTGACGTCGATCAGGATTATACATAAATTCTACATATTGTTAACTTGTGCATATTTTCAGGATTTCCTCTATTATCACCATTATGTAACCAGATCGCATTATGAAAGTGGTAGTTTAACTTAGGCTAAATTACTTTATTGTTTTGTAGGTTAAGCGAACTGAGGAGCCTTCACCTGCTGTTTGTGACATAGCAGATACTATGGAGATTGAAATAATATCTTCTGAGGACCAACATGCTAGTGTTAAAGGTGATTAGATTGTCCTCGCATCTTGAAATGGTGTGACTATCTTTTCATTTTTTTTTCTTTTCTTTGAACTGAAAATGTGTATGGATATTTTGGACTGAACAGAACAGCAAATTGAAGAACCTTCTTTGGACTGGTGGGGATTTAAATCCGGGTTTGTCTCGGGTGGTCTTCTTGGGGCCAAGTCGGGCAAAAAGAAATTAAAGGCTAGTGAGAGAAAGATGTTTAGTGAGAACGATCAAGAGAATCTTTACAACATGGTTCAGGTATGTGTGTTTGTCTCCTCCCAGTCTTCTTTGCAAGCTTTTCTTGGAAAAGAGGTTGGGATCTAATATCTTGATGCCGTGAATTGTCTGTAGGATAAAGCCACAGCAGGGAAACAAGGACTAGGTATTAAAGACCGACCAAAGAAAATAGCCGGTGTTCGTTACGAAGGGAAGAAAACTTCTTTTGATAACAGTGATGATGATGATGATGATGACGAAGAAGAGGAAGAGGAAGAGGAAGAAGAGAGTGAAGAAGATGATGACAAGGACTCTGTAATCAAAAGTTCTCTTCCCGCGAAAAGGAAGCGCAATGAGATCATTGAACCCAAAATCAAGTTAAAGAACCTGTGCAAGCAGATTCTTAAAAAGGTTCGCTGTCAATTTATTTCGAACAGTCATTGTATTCTTCTACAACATCCCACCCATACCGACTTATATGTGTATGTGCAAAAACTTTCTCAGGATGCTGGTAATGGTGGATCAATGAAGCTGAAACAGCTAAAATCTCTAATCGATGAACAAGCACCATCAGTTCTTTCAGAGTTCTCTTCAAGAAAAGATGCTATTGCTTACTTGAAACTTAAGGTAAATGCAATCTTAGCTAATCTTATGTCAAATCCTCCTACAGAATCTTATGCCTACCTACATAGTGATAAGATTCATTAAATTTGAGATTAAAGAAGTGTAAACTAAATCATTTTTATAGTGAGTTTCTCATATTTACTACAGAAAGTTCCAAAGTTTATCATTCTTACTGATGTTGTTCTAACGTCTTTGTTGCAGCTGGAGCGAAGTGGTAAGTTTGTTGTGGACGGAAAGAAGATCAGTCTTGTATCAAGCAAGAAGTGAGCACAATTTTTGGTTGCAATTATCATTATACCTGCATAGGAAAGTGGAGATTAGGACAAGTTTTGTTACTAATTCAT